TCCTCCGGCCCACCCCCCCGCCCCCTAAAAAAAAAAAATGAATGCTCCCTAAAAACTTTTCATCTGTTCGGATTTCCTAGCTGAAAGTCTAGTGATCCGAAAATTATAGGGATAAAAACTTACCTTCTCGAAAATTTCAGCCAGGAAAAGGCTCCCGAAAATTCTAGGTGACCTTTTTTTAGGGTCAAAATCCGTTAAAAATGGGTAATTATACCATTTTGTAAATGTTCGAAAATCCTAGGAGAGGCAGGCAAGCAAGAAATTTTACAACAAATGCTCCGAAAATTCTAGATCTCAAATCGTCTTCCGAACAGATATTTTCCCGAAAATTGCCGTTGGGTGCCCCTGTCTTTTGAAACGTAAATCTCTTCCTTTGCGGCTAAATAAGAGTTTTAGGTTGTTTATTCTTCTCCAAAGTGCCTCCTGAATCTAAATAGGTAAAGGCGATATTCTTTTGTCTGGGAATCCGATGTTTTCCTTCAACTTTTGTCACCCTGGGCCCAGCTCGTTTAGTATTTTCTGCACAATGTTAAATTTTCACCGAAAGTGATTTACAGATCCAGATTTCGAAGAATGGATTATAGGAACGCATTTTGTGAAGGGAGATATTTTAAGTAAAAAGAACTCGGATTCTTAAATCGATCGTGTTTTAGCTAGCCAATTGCAGTTTTCATATTCTGTGTTAGTTTGGATACAGTGGATTATTCTCTCCTCTCCCTCTTGGCTTACAGGCGGCACGCCCAAGTTTAAGAGGTGAAGAGAGATTTTTTAAAGTAAAAAACTCGTAGATTGAATCGTCATGTTTTAGCTAGCTAGCCAATTGCAGTTTTCATGCGCTGTGTTAGTTTAGATAATTCAGTAAATTTTTCTCTCCTCTCCCTCTAAGCTTACAGGCGGCGCGCCCAAGTTTAAAAGGTGAAGAGGGATTTTTTTTCAAGGGTAAACAACTCTTAGCCGAATAGACCATGTTTTACTAGCTAGCCAATTGCAGTTTTTATACGCTGTGTTAGTTCGGGTAATTCAGCAAATTTTTCTCTCCTCTCCCTCTTGGCTTCCAGGCGGCACGCCCAAGTTTAAGAGAGGTGAAGAGAGATTTTTTAATGCAAAAAAACTCGTAGATTGAATCGTCATGTTTTAGCTAGCTAGCCAATTGCAGTTTTCATGAGCTATGTTAGTTTAGATAATTTAGTAAATTTTTCTCTCCCCTCCCTCTTGGCTTACAGGCGGCACGCCCAAGTTTAAGAGGTGAAGAGAGATTTTTTAAGGTAAAAAACCCGTAGATTGAATCGTCATGATTTAGCTAGCTAGCCAATTGCAGTTTTTATGCGCTGTTAGTTTGGATAATTCAGTAAATTTTTCTCTCCTATCTCTCTCTTAGCTTACAGGCGGCGCGCCCAAGTTTAAGAGGTGAAGAGAGATTTTTTTCAAGGGAAACACTCGTAGTTTGAGTCGATCATGTTTTACTAGCTAGCCAATTGCAGTTTTTATACGCTGTGTTAGTTTGGTAATTCAGTAGATTATTCTCTCCTCTCCCTTTTGGCTTACAGGCGGCGCGCCCAAGTTTAAGAGGTGAAGGGAGATTTTTTTTTAAAGTGAATAGTACATAGCTAAAATCGATCGTGTTTTAGCTAGTAAATGCAATTTTTTTACATTGCTTTAGTTTGGATAACTCGGTAGATTTTTCTCTCCTCTTCCTAATGGCTTACATGCAGCGCGCCCATACTTAAGCGGTGATAAAGTATTAAAGTAAGTCACAGCTTGAATCGATCGTGTTTTAGCTAGTCGTTACAGAGGTTTTTTTTTTGTACACATCGTTAGTGTATATAATTCAGTAGATTTTTATTTTCTCTCCCTCTTAAGTCTTTAGCTCTTATGCGATCCGCCCAATCTTACGACAAGTGCTGTTGGTTGTTTCAAAACTGAAATTTTGTAATTGTAATTTTTTTTTATATCTACGGCTCTCAGTCTGGATAATATTGAGCGTGATGCCTGTGTTTGATGTACACCGGAAACCGGAAAAAAGCTAGTTTTGTCCGCGGGCGGCAATACTTTAATTTCAACAGTTTAAGGTAAAATATTAAGATAATGTCTAAATCATTTGTGAACTGTGATAGTTTTTTTTGCGTAAATATCTCTCTTCGATCAAATGTGACAATTAGGCCAGATTTATACTAGCGATGTAAAGATTTCCTCCGTCTATGTTGAAACCGAACAAACCTCGCGGGTTTGAGTTGTTGTTTTCATTGTTTATTCATCAAGTTCTCAGTTGTTATGATTTTTCGGTAGTATTGTTCTTATTTATTGTTTATTGAGTGGGTCGGCTAAAATTAAAGACGAAGAGTGAAGCTCCAATGCAGAATTTTTGAAGTCTCTTTGATATTATGTTTTCGACAGTGCACGTGAATAGCAGCTACGTTGGGTGTCCACTTAAGATAAACTGGATTAAGTGTCCAAGATGAAAGACTGCTCAATAAAACGAACATTGTTGACAGCTTTAAGATAGGCTTAGGGTCTCTTGATGTAATATAACCCTTGGTTCAAAACAATAGACTTGGCGCCTCGCACTTCAGAAATATGCGAAGATTGCGACGTTGAACGTCGCTATGACAATTAATCTAAGCTTAATACTTTAGACAACACGGATACACAAACAATTTCCGCTTTCCGTTTTAATTTCGTCTTTATTGACTCTTTAGTTGTCTCTGCTTTACAAGACGCGGGTGGCTATGCGATTTCCCGCCAAAATAACCTCGATTTGCATCTGGGTTGCCATACCTGTTGATTGAGTTATTTTATATTGGTATGCCTGTGGTGCGGACGGACGGCGGGCGGTCGGTGTACGGTCACGTGATTACCAAATTTTCTGGGATGGGTAGATTTACTTACCATAGTGCTCCGCTGGCGCGCGCGAGAGCTCCGCTAAAAAATTGGTCATTTCAGGTCGTAGTTGTGCTGGGACAGCATAGAAATGTACAAAAAAGCGTGATGCGCGTGCAGAGTTGTTATTTTGCTCATGAAACCTGTTGCTTTTTTTTACGTTCCCCTTGTCCTCGCCGTCGTAGTTTCGTAAGGTCCGTATATTTATTGTTGGCAACCGCCGTGTTTCACCAACTAAAACTTGCGTGAAAGAAATATGGGTACCTGCTACTCAGGCTTTTCACCAACGCCCTAGTCAGTCACTGCAAGATAGCAGAAACACGACTTTCCGGTGACTTGAAACAGCGAAATGGTTTGTGAAAGTATAAGACAGTCTCGATTCTTGTTTTGTACCTGTGTGATTTCTCTTTCGTGGTTAAGGCAAATTATGTACTTATGTACTTACATTGATGAATATGGTTGAGCTGCTCAGATGCTTTTTCTTCTTCAGTGTACTGTTTTCGTCATAGTAGCCTTATTCCAGGCTTTAAGGCCCCTTCCACACGTATCCGGTTATTTTTGAATCCGCAATTTTTTCTTTGCGGATTCAAAAATTTCCACGTCCACACCTAGCGTATTCAAATCCAATTTGCCTGTCCTCACGTATACGGATTCACTCGCAGTTCGTTAGCTAATTTGTTAAGACCGATTCTCGGCTCATGCGAAAATTCAAAAACTGTTTCGCTGACAAAATTGTCCCGCCAAGCACCAGTTCGCTTGTTTAACTTGTTTGTGACATGGAAAGAAGCCTCGGGATGTCTAGCCGCCGTTTGGTATATAATTGAAGTGTACAGTAATTCACAGCTGGTCAGTTAACAGTTCACATGATATAAGGCTAAAAAAAAAAAGTCCACGAAGTAAAGAAGCGATAACATTATTCTTGAATATTCACGGTTAAGGACTGGGCTCAATCTTGTTACGTCATCGGATAGAGAAATAGCCGGAATTAACGTCCACACGATTCCGAATTCATAGCGTATTCAAAAATTTCCACTCTGGAGAGCGGATTCAAAAAGTTTCGAATTCGTTTTCCTGGATTCAGCTGATAAGTGTGGACGGAAGCCCTATCCGGAAAGGAAAAGTTGCGGATCCAAAAATATCCAGATACGTGTGGACGGGGTCTAAGATGGTTTAAATATTCAGTCGTCCTAAACAATTAAGTTGGCTTGCTTTATTTCGGCGACATTCCTAGTATCTGATAGCCTGAGTGGCACACGCAAGTCATTGAGGTGTCCAAAGATAAGACCTAGACTCCCTTTGGAGATTTAATTATGGTCAGCCAGTAGACCTTTTTGTTTTCCCATTGCCAACCATGTGCTGTCATCCCCCCGAAAATTGTTTCTTTCAAAATGTCGCGCTATCCATGTGCATATGTGTGCACAACTAATGAAAATACAAGAGGCAAATTCCCTTGAGTAGTTCACGTGGTCTGAATTGGGAAACTAAAACCGACGAGCTAAAAAGGTCTATTGAATCACTCTAAGCCATTAACACTCGCTAGTGTTTCAAGAAGCCTGCCCCAGAAGCCTGCCCCAGGCTCTCGGTCAGCTAGTACAGACGAGTGGAAAAAAAAGCGAGCGAAAACCGGCGGGAAGAGAGAATGGGAGAGCCTATCAGCATCTTTTTAACTACCCCAGTTCGCCCACTTCCAGAGAATTATGTACTAGGGTTTTACACGCTCACCATTTTTGTATGATTCTGCGGGCTCAAAGCCAAGTGATTGACGTAAGAGTTGACCTGGCTGTCGAAATAGACCAATCATGGGTATGCTAGGGGCCGGTATACCTGGATTAGGCTGAAGACAATGCTTATTAAAGGCTCCATTTCCCCGTGTCTCCCCAGCTCTCAAGCCTTTTTCGTGCATTTTTTTTTTTTTCGATCAGCACTACTACGCGCAAAAGACCTAAATTAACAGCAATGCACTTCCAATCGTTCTCAACGTGGCCCAGGGGAATAGGTGTCACACCCAAAGACATTGTCCATCAATTTAAAGGGCCGCCTGCATCATAATTAAGCCAGTCTAGTAAAGTTTAGGTCTCGGCAACCTCGCAAGCAGTTCAGACCCTACCCTTCCTCCCGCAGCGATGGAGCATATTCACGTCTATCGAGTCAAAGCCTCGCGCCGATTCTCCCATGTTTATTTGGCTTTGTGTGTGGGTATTCCTGGTTAGAAAATATTACAAGCAAACCTACATAAACCGAAAAATTTCGCTTTGAGATCATGCCAAAATTTCCTGGTCATGTACGTAAGCTGATTCGACTGGGACAATTTTTGGACCATTTTTGATGTGCTCGAAGCAAATTGGCCATACCGAAAAACAATTTTTGGAACCAATGAGCTATACTTTTACACCCAATTATATACTTTTATACCCAATGGCGATTTGTTCGTTCTAGTATGAAATGGCGCTAAAATCACATACACTACCAACGTAAGTAGCACACAGGGTGACACAAACTATTATACGAGAAATACGTATCTCGCAACCCCTTGCGAAACGCGGTGTTGCACACAAGTTATGAAGCAAACTCCGTCTGCAAAGTGAGACGCGAAACTAAGTGTGCCTCTCAAGATAAGCCCTGACGGACGGTGTGGGATCTGAGTGCTTGGGTAACCAGCTGCGAATGTCAGGACCATTACTTCTTCGTATGGTGTTTTCCTTCTTTTCCTTTTTTCATTGTCCTTTTTGATTACTAAATGAGTAATGGAAATTGCATTTAGCAATACTTCGGGCGCCGGATGGAAAGAAAAAAGAAAAAGAAGAACAAGGCATTCAACTCGGGTTCCGGCCGATCGATGGACTGAAACCAGCGCCAAGTTAATTGTGGATTTGTCTCGGTGTGTCTCTTGACGGCAGAAAGCCGTGCTAAAAAGTACTTCCAAAGAAACAAAACTTGTTGAGACAACAGGATTAAAGTTAAACTTGAAATCCGTAATGGATACTTCGTTCTTGGCTCTTTCCTTAAACGTACGAAGGGTTTAAGGGAAGAAATCAGGCCACTTCAAGTTGTACACAGTTTCTCTGTTACTGGCGGAACTCCACCCTGACAAAAATACTCCTCTTTTTTAGGTGTCAAGAACGTCAGAGGGTGTTAAGAAATTGGAGTCAAAATAATGAAAATTAAGGTCATGGAAATTAACGCTACACTTAATTAACGGCACGGAAATTAACGTTAACATAAATTAACGGGACCAAAATTAAAACGCGAATTTTGGAAATTCGCGTTAATTTCATGAAGAGTTAATTTCCTATAATAAGGTAGCAATTTTTCCCAGGCATATTAATTATATCAACTCCATATTAACTAGAAAACAACTTCCGTCGGTTGCAAGGAAAGGAACGGAGGACAAATTTTCAAAGGAAAACGGTGAAGGAACAACGAAAAAGCTGTCTCACTCGGTCGGCATTTTTTGTTTTGTGGTTCTGTACGGATGTTCCCGGAAACACTATTTTTGCGGGAAATCAGTACATCTAAATATATATTTTAAAGGGAAAGGGTTGACTCAAGAAGGTTATGGCACACTACTAATCGGCTCCTGAGACGTACAGTGATGCAATATATACCTCTTAATTATTACCAGTGTTTTCGGTCTGTACTGTAAATTACGGATCCTCGTTTTTTCCCATCGATTTATGGCCCAAGCGCGAAGCGTGCGGGCCATAAATCCATGGGAAAAACGAGGATCCGTAATTTGCATTACGGATCGAAAAAACGAGGCTAATAATCTGTTTATTATATGCTTCCTGTTTAGGAAACAAGTGCAGAACAAGCGATTTGACAGTCATTTGACAGGCGTCATTTCAAAGTTTGAATTGGCTCACCGAAGGCTTTTTGTCTGAAAGTAAAATCAAAGTGCTAATGCGCCATGTTGAAAAAGTCTATTCTGTCAAAACTAATAGCTAAGAGCTCTGTAAGTATTCGCTATCCAATGTGACGCTGGAGTCTTTTGAAAGCTGGAACTGGGTTGAAGTTGATCCATCTCAATCTTTCGCTGGCCTTTGGAAAAAAACATTGCAGATGGCAAAGAAGCTTATCAAGGGGACCAGGTGCACTCTATGTTTGTTATCATACTTTTCGAAGGAATCGCTCGTTTACTCTTAGGCGAAATGTCTCGTCAATCTCTGCCAGTCAGAAACTACAGAAAATTTAATGCCGTTAGTTTTAAGGTGTTTCGATGCAGTTTTTCGCAGACCATACCGATGTCCAATCGCCTTAAAAGAGATTTTATCCTTGTCCGATCGACAAAATTTTCCCGAGTGATTGACTATAAATTGAAGTTTATCAAAATGCAGTTTCTAGTAAAATCGATATCACTATGACAACAATAAACAAAAAAGTAGGCTAGTTTTCAGATCGTAAGAAAGGAAATACACCAAAACTTCCATGCATCGAAATATGATGTTAAGCAGCCTTCTGACGCTATTTAAGATTAACTTGAGTTATTTAGAACTCTTTTACCAAATAATTTATCACGGCTATTGAAAATATAAGGTTTGAAATATATTTACGTTTTATTTGAATTCAAACATACAGAATTTTTTACTTCTCACGGGGCTTATTTGCTAAACACCACACTGTAAGTTACTGATGTCAGATTTTCAGGAGCAGGTCTAGATCGAGCGAAATTTGGATTTAATCGATTTCAATTTTTTGTTTTTTATTTTGGTCATAGTGGTATCGATTTTACTAAAAACTGCATGTTGACCGACTTCAATTAATGTTCAATCACTGGTGAAAATTTTGTGGCGATCATACAAGGATAAAATCTCTTTTAAGGCGATTGAAAAACATCGGTATGGTCCCCAAGAAACTGTATCGAAACACCTTAAAACAGACAGAAAATGAATCGCCGATTGAAGCGTGCTGTCAATACAACAGATCCAAACACTTGGGCCGATTAGAAGAGGTTGAGAAACGAAATAGCATCTGACCTTAACTTAGAAAAGCATAATCTGCTTATTTCAGAGATCAACTTAACCAGGCGAAGACAACTGCGGCTTCCGTTATACGAGGATGTAATGTCCAAAGCAACCAAACCTAAAGTACGCAAGAAGAAAAGGTCGCTTAGGCGCGACAACAATAGCCTAGCTGGGAATGAGACCGAGAAAGCTAATCTTATGAATAGCTTTTTCTCCACAATTGGTCAAACATTAACTGTAGGGCAATCCCAGTACTTTACCAGTCCCAAAAATATCCGATATTTGTCTATCCAGCAATGAAGTAGAGAGAAAAAGTTAGTTCATTGAAGAAAAGCAAAGCTACTGGACCAGATTAGATATCAGCCAAACTGATGAAACTTGCAGGACCCGCTGTTGTACTCCCGCTAACCAGCCTTTTCAAGCGCAGTACTCGTGAATTCTGGGTTTATAGCGATTGGAAAATGTCTAGACTAACTCCTGTGCACAAGAAAGATGATCCTACAGAAATAGGAAATTATCGCCCCCTCTCTCTGCTGAGTGTCCTCAGTAAGATTTTGGAATTATGTGTTGCGGACTCAATTGTGAGTCATGTTTTCATCGAAGAGGGCAAAGGGCCTATAGAAAAGGGAGATCTACAGAGCTACTTCTTACTCACCTAAATAAAAATTGGCGACGCGCAATTGATAACAAGAAATTGTGGGCGTTCTATTTATGGACTTCTAAAAGGCGTTTTATTGCGTTTCACACTCCCTTGTACTTGTAACCAACTCTGTATAAGCATGATTCACTAGTGCCGCATCCCAAGAAGTGCGAGGGTGTGATCCTTCACAGAAATAATTTTGTTGGGCCCCTTGGTAGCTTAGAAATTGACCAGCATCACATAAAGGGGACAACCTATACTAAATTGTTAGCTGCTACTATTGACAATAAGCTCACGTGGTCAAGACACATTTCAGAACTTAATAGAGGGTTTGTTAATAAACTGAACCTTATTAAACGCTCTCGCTTCCCACCCATAAAAACGCTTTTAGACCTACATTTTAAAGTCATTTTACCCTTTATAACTTATGTGCTACCAGTTTGAGGGTGTGCCACCAATAAGAATGAGTCATACTTTGGAATCTATTTAATGCAGAGCTGCTAGAGTCACATATAACCTGCCCGCGACTTACCCTCTGAAGACGTTCGAAAATCAGTCAAGTGGGATTCTTTATTTGATTACATAGCTTTATCATGCTTAGAACATGATCCAGAGGCGAGAGAGAACAAGTAAGACTTGCGTCAACGCCACCGCGTAACTGTTCCGCATTTCGAAACGTACTACATGAAGAACTCCATCTCGTACAAAACATCCATTGCTTGGAACTTGTAAGATCCCTCCGTAGCTAGCACAAGAGCCTACGCTAAAATGGCCTTAAACTCTGAAGCCCTCAAAAATCTCAACTTCTCAGCTGAATCACCCCAAATGGGTGCGTTCAACAACAGTGATTTCGTCTTTTATTTTCTAATATTCAATTAATACAGTCGACTCCCGATAACTGGAACCCTCGCTAACTCGAACCTCGCGCTAACTCGAACCAAAATCGATTTCCCCTGGATTTCCGTCATACATTCACTGTAATTTTACCCTTGGTAACTCGAACTCCCGCTAACTCGAACCAATTTTCGTTTCCCCTCAAGTCATTTTCTATATTTTACCCTCGATAACTCGAATCATGTTTTGAGCCCTTAAAAAGTCGGGAAAAAAAACTCGTCTACTAAAGTCCGAAACATTGAATTTTGGATTTCCTATTGACGTGTTGTAGGAGTATAGTTTACTAGTGGAGGTTGATGTTGATTGTCACAGGTTAACGTGAAGCAGCTTTTCTTGTCAAAACAGTAAAACGCATGCTTTCATTAGATTATGTTTTGTTACTTTACGTTCTGATTTATAATCTAAAATTATCTTTTGACTTTCACTTGACATTTCTACAATTAAATGTGATTAAAATGTTCACTGTGCAGTAAAAACTGTTTTTTACCTTACTCTCGGCTATTTTCTTCAAACTCCCGATAACTCGAACCTTTTTTCGATTTCCCTTGAGGGTTCGAGTTATCGGGAGTCGACTGCGCTACATGATCAATGATTCAAAGCCAACTTTATTAGCATATGATGCATTTATGTTTTTTCTTGATAGAACAAGTATTTTTATTACTAATTTTTACTTTTTAGGTATAGTTTCTTAATTACAATCTGCATGTACTTTAATTAGCATGTTTTTAATTGATATCATATACACGGCCCCATAAGCTGTATTAGTTTTAATTTTAACTGTACTCGTTTTTATAAGAAAATAAAATAATAATAATGATAATAATAATAAAAGTTAATCATGATTTTCTTTACACACTTATTTAGCTGCTTGTTGGTTAATAATTAACAAACCTCAGCCTAACCTCCATTGAGGGGACACTTGCCTTGGTCACGAGGGTGTCCTCTGAATAGAGGTTCCACTGTATCTACACTCCTTCAGTCCAGGAAGGTCAACTGAGTTTATTGACATTTTAGCCGGATCGAAGAGTGTGTGGATACCATAACATCAACTCTAAGGGAGAGGATTGATCACTTACGTTGTCGAGGCTCTAATGGGTAGTTACCAAGCAACAAAAATAATTACACTCTTTGAGTTTGCGTGCGAATTACAATGATCATGATCATCATCATAATCATCATATTATCGTCGTCGTCATCGTCGTCCAATATTAGGGAGCTTATATTAAGCAACTACAGTTACGACGACGACGACAACTTTAAGAAAACAATAGGTTTAATGATTAAAACAACAGCTCTGCACGTACATCACGCTTTTTAGTACTATACATTTCTTTGACGTCCACTGCACGACTACGACGTGAAACCTCCTAACTGGACGTTTTATGGAGGACGTGAACAAACGACGACGAATTTTCCTTCCTCTTTTTGAACTTGAATAAAATCCTTAAGAATTCAACCCCAGGAAAAGTCTCCTGCATTTGACATATTGAGCGGGTCCAAAAGAACGCAAATTCACTTTTTTAGCGACGTTTTCACTGCCGTCGTGGTCGTCGTTGCTTATGGTCCCTAATTGCGCCGTAATTGGTCACGAGCTTTTTCCATTCCTGACGGTCTTGAAGTTAATTATCTCTTTTGTCATCACAGAGATAGCAAAATAGCAACTTGATAATGAATAAATGCTTATTGATTATGTTTTGATAAATAAATGAGTTGCCCCGAGTAGACAATTAATTGACCTGAAATAATGACTAACAACGCCATCAAAACTAATAGCTATACCTAATTTTATGTTCAACAAAGAAAACGTGAAGATGTATCTTAGGCTGCTTCTTATTGCAAGAAGGCTAGCACTTGACTCGTTTTGGTGTTACAGGTGCGTATATTAATCACAGTCTTTTTAAATCTTATATAATATGCATTACACACAGCGCACGTCATGCGCTGATACCTTCATCCGCGACACCTGACAGAGTTTCTATATTTGGAGTTGCGCAGTATTTCAGCTCCACATAGACAAGAAAAATGCGAACAATGAGTTAAATGTCTACTGTTGATACTGTTTTCACTGTGAATGAAAAAATATTTTCTCTCAGGAGGAAATGTTTTGCAACTTCTCGTTCTCGTTTCCTTTCCTCGCCCTAGTCGAGCAATTTCCTATTTTTTGTGTTTCACCACAAAACAAGGGCGTGGACATGCGGTTTTACGACTCTTAAAAACAAGATTCTCTGGTTAGTAACTTCTCACAGGATTTACGTGTCAAAAACAATTGCGTTGTACGCTGACAGCTGTTTTCCCTTTGTTGGGCTTGTTGACACGCACTACCTTTCCAAAATGTAAATCAGCAACGCAAATTTTCCTAAGTTTATTTGTTAAAGAAGTTTTAGTTTCGAAGGGGCGATCATACATTCATAATACAAAGACAAAAAAAAAGCGACCGCGTTTCTTAGTATTTTTATATATATCGTTGCTGGGTTCAGATTAGCTTGTGACTATAAAGGCTAGCCAATGCGTGTGGTTACATGACGAAGTAAATATTGCGATATTTAAAGTTATTTTAGTCACTATTTCTATGGAAAAACTATGGCAGAACAGATCTATGAAAAACTTATTGAATTCGTGCTGAAGAAAATAGCCTCTGTGTGACACCGCAAATATATATTACTTGATAAATGATTATAATAGTTAACATAAAATATATATTATGATAATACTATTTAAAAAATGTAATGAATTCCTTTTTGCACATTATTTTTCTCTTGGTTAATATTAAAGATTGTCTGTCATTTGCAAACAGTCACTAATTCGCCTTTAAAGATCTCTATAAAAAGCCAAAGCTAGTCCAAATTGTAGGCGAAATCATTTACCATTGACTGATCTGGCTTCTGAATTAACGATGACGTAAATTGAACTCTGATCGGACTGTTAGAGCGCTTTCAAGTGAAGTCATCACACTTCCCACTCGGATATGTGATGTACTTCTCTGCATGCAGCAATATCGATGATGAGCTGTCATTATCATGTGATCAGCGGAAATAAGGGACACGAGTGTATAAAATTAAACCGTCGGCAGTTTATGTATTAGTGAAACAATAGAAAAGTGCCGAATTTCGGGTGGGTCCTTAAAAAGAGCGGTGCACATATTATATCAGGGGTAGCCAAGGAAGTCAGCAACTGACACAATTAAGGAGCAATCATCGCCGGAGAAGAGATATTTTAGCTTACGCACAACTTCGTCAACAAGTATCACAACCCGTGAGTGTATGGTGTACTACCGATTTCTTGTCATCAACAGACAGACTTATTGTTCCACAGAGAAATATCTCCGTACCATTCTATTAAACTAGAGATTTTTTTCCTTTCAGTTAGTATGAATACATGTCACGGAAAGCGGGTTTCTCGCTGGGTTTCTGCCACCATGTTGATTTTCGCGTCGTTGCAGCTATCTGGTAAGTCAGTGAGCAAATTCTGTCCATTTTGGAATTACAGTCATTACCGACCAAATAATACCTAAATGATGCATTGTTTCTTTTTGGGCCATTTTAGAGGCAATAAGATGGAACAAACAGCCTGAAAAACCAACAATCTTGGTTGAAGGAGTAAACAACACTGGGGAGAGTCTGAAACTCGAATGGACTTTCGTTAAGGAGCCATCTGAATTTATTGAAAGAGTCACATTTCGAAGAGATGATGCTGATCCACCAGAAGATATTGCAGTCAACGAAGAAGGAGGAGCGTTTACTGTTTTTTCGAAATTTATCTCAAACTACAGTGCAAGCATTCCAGCTACACTGATGTTGCGAAATCCCGTGACCAACGACGAGGAGTTCATATATTCTATCGTGGTATCGCTCCGCGATAATAACAATCCTGCGCCAAGTCTTAGCGACAAAGTACAATTAATAGTGTTTGGTAAGTAAAATATGTCTTTCCTTCTAAGTTTTTCAGTTATTTCTAACATTTTCAGGCTAATATAAAGCGTATTTCAAAAGACCTTTCATAACAGCCCCCTATTTAAGTTCTCTAGAGTAAGCCGGGCGTCGTCAGTCCCCTGAATCGTGACTTAATTGAGTGTGAGAGAGATTTATTAAACCAAATTTCTCTACGTCACCCTGAAACTCTTGAGAAAAGTCTGAATAGCGGTGTATGAGTATTTTTTGACGGTCTTTTTTCAACAGTACCTTTGCGGTAAGCTTCGCATCAGTTACTTCCTCAATGGAACGTGCGTTCGTTCTTGCGTGCCTTTAATTTGAAATTAACGTAATTGCCCTTTTTTTACCATCTCTGCACGCGCCATAATGTGTCAAAAGCCTTAGGCTATATTATGTAAGCTTTTAATTAGCTGACTTAAAGGAGAAGTTTGAAAATACTGAGCATATTCATAGTTTATTCCATCACAAAACCATCATTTTTCACGACACTACAAACTGCAGACAAATATCAACACTGTACTCGTTTTCTTCATGCGGTTCAGTTTTGAGTAAGTTACTTTCAATCAATCATGTAGTAAGTTATACCAATTATATAGCAGAGAAAAGGCTGTTTCGTTGCGTAAATTAACCGACCATAAAAGATCGGACCCTTTAAGTAGCGCAATTATTTTGAAAAAAGAAATTTCGGGCCATGCGAAAACGATTAACATCAATAAAGCTTATATTGGTCGCGTCATATTAGAGATAAAATATTCACACTATTTCACGCAAAAAATAAAAGAAGCAACTTTAAGGTAAATTGTCGTTGTCGCCCAATTATTTTGAAATCAAAAGTTATTTTATAAGTTGTTTTGGAAGCTTGCGTTTTAGTTCTGAAATGCGTAGGAGTTACGCATAGTGACTCATGGAATGATTTGCATACAGAGTCTACCACGACTCAGTGAATATTGAGTGTTATGTCATTTTTCGTCGTGTTCACAATATATGGATGCTAAATATATGATTTGAAGTTTCTGCGTGCAAAAACAGTTATGGTAACAGAAAAAAGCGCATCAAGAGATCAGTTGTCGATCTCTTCAACTGGCATGGTTTTAAGGTTCCTACTTTTAGATTGTAGACTCTAGTCAGTACAGACTGACTTTAAGGAAAACAACGTAGCCATTCGTTTTATCCTTTCCGGACATCTGACAAACATCTTATAAACTTGGGCGTGCAGCAACCACATCGATAATCAACTTTTGGCTCAGGTCTACTTCATTCATGTACTTCTTTTAAAAATTTTTCTCCCCACTGACAATGCCGTAATTGTGAGATAGTAAATTACATTTTGAGGTCGTCATTAATGTTACTCAACCGTTTAAGCCGTGTGGTTGAAACTATTGGCCATATTTATGTGATCTACTTGACGGTTTTGAGACTTCACTAATTTTAGTGCAAGCACTTATTTCTTGGATTCATGAATTGGACGATTTCCTAAAAAGCCTGTAAAGTTACATGGAATCCCTTTTACGTCTACGTATGACGTATTACTTCGCTCATAATATTCACTGTAATATATACCAGCCACTCTTCTTTGAGGCCACCTTGAGCCCCAGCTGAGTAGAACCCTCCTTGACGTATAAGTTATTGTTATTCCGCCTTTTCCAAAACTTTAATCGTGAAATTTAGTTTTTCTCTGTTCAATATCTGTCTTGAAAGGGTTCCGTGAGACCGTATATGGACGATATTCGTATTCCCCGACGGCGCTGGGACGAGACACTTCACAGCATGATTGCGAGGATAATTTAAGAGCGGGGAACTTGTTAGCAAAAACAAAACCAAACATTGGTTAGTCGCGGGTGAATCGCTTCAAAACGATAGAAATCAGCAAAAACACTGGTAGATTTAAAAGCTGAGACCTTACGGGTAAGCTAAAGGGATATCTGTCTCAAAAAACAAAACTGTGGGAAGAGCTGGTCGTACTAACAGCAAAAGTTAAAAAGTCACGAAGCCAAAAGAAGAAACAATCAAGAATATGGTATATTGTGTCAAAATGTCAACACTCGAATCCTTTTAATAAAATTTTATTCTTCTTATTATTCTTTTTCTCTTGTGTGTATCAGTCTGTAGTTTGAAGTTTAAACTGCTCAGTGTTATCGTCTGTACCAAACTCTGTGTTCAACTGCGTGCACGTTTTTGTACTCTCGCGCAATTGTTATCGAAGATAATGTAACTTAAATTTAAAAATAAACTTTACCTAGTCATCTTTGTTCAAACCGGTTTAACTTCCTTAAAATGCACATGGACTGTGTGCAGAACGCTAAGCCCCGAACTGATAAGTAATTATCCACTGAATGAGTCGTTTGCTTTACTTCAAATACACATTTAAGATTTTGCATCCGCTCTGTTAGAAAATTTCAACTGCAAAGTAGGGGTGATAACATCACCGTTAACTTTATCGCAGGCTTTCGATAAGTACGTCCATTTCAAAATAAGATATTCTTCAAAAGGACACTGAGCACTCTTCTCATCAATATAATTATGGTTAGGATCGCTGTTTTTCTTGGTAATAATGAGCAGATCTCCCTTTTGTTGTTTGAAATAATGATCTCTCAAGTATGTAAGCCCTTCGAAACTTTACAATGTTAAAAATTTTCCTTAAATTCGGCAAACTCAGCCACAGTTTTTTCAAATTTGTTTGTCCTCTTGGCGAGAAGGTCCCCCGCATGAGCCTCGCATTCATGATCAAGGCCCACTGGTCCCAGGACTGTCGGAGAATACGAATTCTGTCTATTTTTAAACGGTACCGCCGGAGTTTTGTTCCAATTGTTTTTGTCTGTTGGCAATTAAGAGTGCATTTTTAGTGAAGACTCGTTCGGTAATTATCAAGAAGTGCACGGTGAAACTAACCATAAATCAACTGCTGAGTGTCGGCTTTATAAGAGAGCAAGGAATTTCAAGCACGAACTTCACCGCTGGCTGATGATTTTTATCATGGCTTTTTAGTGATGGGGTTATTTTAGAACAAAGATTGAAAGATGCCTTAGTCTTGAAATCTTTTTCTAAAAAATTCGGATTTCGATAGTGTTTAAAAGTCCTGTGAATAGTTATTAAGATGTGAACAATTTCTTCCATTATTTATGTGGTGTTTACAAGTTCCCTAAGCCTCCCTAAGGCTGTGAAAAATAACAAAAAACAACTAACGAACAAATAAAACAATATAGGGAAACGATTATTTATTTGAGGAACACTGAATAATAACGTATTCATAGTTTCACAACTGTATCATAAATCGCCAATCTGAGTTCTCTATTACTACCATTTCAGAGCGTTTTAAGGCAATAACTCCCTCTAGGAAAGATATCAATGATAGTAGTGCGCAATTACTCAGCGGGGTAGACACTCATGAGCCTACACTATGCGAACATTAAACTATTAATAGTCGATACCCATGAAATAAAAGAATTATTGAGAGAGCCCTTTTAGCTGAATTTGCCGGTAAGAAGGACCAAAACCACATGAACTGAATTCTTGGAGGAAATAAGACACATAAAATTGCCTTTTAAAACGGTAGAAGTACGACTTTTCGAATTCTTATTAACGGCTCGCCCGACTTGTTTCCTTTCACAGGTTTAAACTGAATTTGAATTGGATATGCGGCAGCGTTAAAATAAAGGATACTTTTCTTTGAAGGGTTCTGTTCATGGGTAACCTGCAAACGGTTTGATGGCTCCTGCGGCCGGCGTAATCATTTCTTTTTTCGCCAGGAATGATGAAAGAAATTGCAGTTGTTTTATCTGCGTTTTTTGTTTTCGACAGTGCCCCCAAGAATTACATCAGAGCCAGAGAGGGAGTCTAAAGTTCGCGTTGGAGACAATTTGACACTGACTTGCAATGTATCTGGTGACCCACTCCCAGAAGTCACATGGAGCAAAGAGGGCCAAACGCTTAAACTGTTTAATGTTACTGGCCCTGTTCTGCATCTCGTTAACGTAACGAGGAAGGATGTTGGATCTTACAAATGCACAGCAAAAAATAAAGTTGGAGAGGTCTCTCACCCTGCCGCCGTTAACGTTGAATGTAAGTAATTTTTAGTTTCAATTATACTGTTAGCTATGCAATTGAAGTAATCAGTACCGTGCATTCACAAGTTCAAGGTACGATCAAAAGGAGCAGTTGCTTTGTTATTTTCTTGTGAACTATTATCTTGAAAGGCTAAAATGTATGTAGTAGTTTGGAAACTGCGATAAAAGTTTGCCCTAACCACGACATTTGCCTCCGTCATTGATGAATGTGGGAAAACTGGTTCTCAAAAACTGATGAGCCGAGTTATTTAGTACAGCGTAGGTCAGACACCTTTCTATCTTTTCATTGCTGAGACAGAGGCATTGAATTAAACGTAAAAGTTGAAAGCAATTTATGAGCCTATTTTTGTGTTATTACTTTTGGGAAAATTTAGAATCCTTGTCGTCCCATGTAAGAGAATCTGTACTCCGAAATCCGGAAAATTCTTGCTCGTGGCGTATTCGGAATCCAGGAATTTTTTGCTTGGAATCCGGAATACAGTTGAAGGAAACCGGAATCCCGTTAACGATTGAAATCCGGATTCCAAATTCCACTGACACAGAATCCGGAATGCCGCGTGAGTACCTGGAATCGACAAGTTCAGACTGTCTTGGATTCCCATTTAAACGGGGCGATTTTTGAAACGCTCTGCAGTTGCCTGCAGAAAGATACTTTGGGACTGTTATCAGTTTTGAGTAGAATCGCATAATTGAGTAAAATCTCGCATTCTGATTGGTTAACGAAGCGAGGTGTTTAGTCTGGAATTGCAAATTGAAAACGAGGCTAAGCGATAATGTTTTGTATGGTGGCGCACAACTGTCACGGCAAAACCAAAAACCTTATGGCAAAAACAAAATACCTCATGGCAAAAACAAAAACCTCACGGCAAAACCAAAAACCTCACGGCAAAAACAACATACCTCACGGCTAAACCAAATTCTTCACAGCAAAAAAAGAATAGCTTTGGTTTTGCCGTGGGTATTTGCTTTTGCCGTGAGGTATTTGGTTTTTGCTGTGAAGTATTTGGTTTTGCCGTGAGGTCTTTGTTTTTGCGGTGAGGTTTTTGGTTTTGTCGCGAGGTATTTTGTTTTTGCCGTGAGGTTTTTGTTTTTGCCGGGAGTTTTTCGGTTTTGCCGTGAGGTATTTTGTCTTTGCCGTGAGGTTTTTGGTTTTGCTGTAAGGTTTTTGTTTTTGCCGTGAGGTTTTCGGTTTTGCCGTGAGGTATTTTGTTTTTGCCGTGAGGTTTTTGGTTTTGCCGTGACAGTTGTGGGCCACCGTAGTTTGGAATCTACGTAACAACTATCGTTAAATTCTGACACAACAACTGCAAAAAAGGTTTTCTACAATGTCATTTTGAAATGTTTTCAAAACCATTGTCACCTTTTGAAGAGTAGAAAACAAACAGAAGCGTTTTTAAAATTGAGCCGGAGGTTCTTCCTTGTTTTGAAGTCAACTACAAATTCTCGGAGAGACATAAACTAACCTCTTTCGCTCGCAACCACGAGAAAACAAGAAAATCCTGTGAACACAGCCCAGAAAATGGTAACCCAAAGTTCAACCAAACAAAACGGAGAAGCGACAACGGAGAAAGTGCCAGGGTCGATCGTCACATATACAGAAGAAGAGATAAATACCTTCAAAGACGACATGGCCCCTGAAAACACGAAAAAGAGTACGCCGCTTGCAATCGTCTGAGTCAATAGCCCATTCGGCCTTTGGCCTCATGGGCTATTGACTCAGAGCCCATTCGGGCTCGAGGAATAATTGTTAAATAGTATCACTGAGAGGTTCATATTTTTGGTAATGGATTCATAATAACCGTCACATAAATCCATTACCATTGTAACTAGCATTTAACCGGTGTAAAACATATTGTTGAGGTCCATTGTTGGTAAAGCAGTTCTTAGCTTGTAGAGTCCATCAAGCTTCTAATTTTTTAAAGCAAATATAATAATTTTTGTCTTTTTATGTCTGCGATTGATAGGTCCAGAAAACCAGTGTGAGGATCATGAATTTGGAATTAGAATAACAAACATCAGATGGATACAAGCCTTTAACAACTCCAATGCAATTGAATATAAATCCTTGAAATCAAACGTCACATCAGAAGTAAGTCAATAACCCTGGCTTTTGTCGTTTGGCTTTCCCTTATCATTTGCTGATAAAAGAGTAACACAGAATTAAGCAATGGCTGTATAATTTCTTTTTCGTCAGGTTTACAATCTAAAGCAATGGGAAACCCGAGCCAAATTAACCAAATGCCAAAAAAAACCCGGCTAATTGGGGACACTTACAACTGGAAAATTGCACATATCTACTTAAGTGATATTGTGAACGTCCAGGATCTAGATTAATGAGGGTATTATTACATTTGTGGCTTGTATCAACAGGGTGACTCTGTGTTTAATCGATCTGTCATCAAAAAATGTATCGAAGGAAATTCACCTGTTTCTTTCACAGATTGCAAGAATCTACACCCAATCTCAAAATGCCGAAAAGCAACTATATGGTATAACTATTGTGGAGTTTAGGTATGGTATATGCAATTATTTATCGTTGACATGCAATCATGTAATTGTAACAAAAAAAAAAAACGGAAGAAAATTGTATATTAATAAACGATAGCTGGAGGGCATTGGAAAAGAATTAAAACCTCTCGAGAATAACAACTTCTTTTGTTAATTACATCATTATATGCTATATCTTAACCACAGTCGATTCATGACCTTGTTAATATGGAAGCTTATCTAGCAATTCATGGAGCATGAGTATGATAATGATGAGGTAAAGGAGAGATCTGATTAATTTCTCAAATCATCCGAAAGCCTAATCCATGCGATAATAATTTTATTATTCTTTCAAAACATGCTTAAACATAAAAACAAGCTAAACCAAGCTTAACCTGGATCGATGCTAAGTTCTCGTCTTTATCTTCCAGCTGATGAAATCACGTTTTACGGGTTTTTTTTTTCATTGAGCCACGTTTTTAACTCACTTTTCAGGATCACTGATGGAAGCAAACCGGTTTAAATAGCATTTTACAAAATATGCATATTTAATTAAATAGTCATGCCTTAATTGGCCTGAGTATAAAATATCCTAAGAAAATATCCAACACCTCGCAATGCCGCCACTGGTTTCTCCGCGAAATAAAGTCTAAGGAATGGACCCAGATATTCCTTACTAACGTATGACGCGTCACTATCCAGATCTGGGTCAGTACTACTGATTGGCTGGCATACTGAAGACACGTCGCTACCCATGAAAACTGGGCAAGGCCTTTGATTGGAGGAAAATTTCTTCAACCAATCAGAAGCACTATCCACTTTTCATGGGTAGTGACGTGTCATAAGTATGGAATTTCTGCGCTTGTTACCCTAGGTCATTTCTCGGGGAAACCACTGGCGGTGTCACGAAATGACGGCTGTTCAGTGTTTTCTCAAGCTGGATATAAAGGGATGTTAGGTCTAACATATATTCTTTAGTTAAATTGCAGATATCATCCGTTGAGCTGTATTCTTTTGTTTTTGCTACGTTTTTAAGTAGCAACCGGGATATTTTGTTTTTCTTCGAAAAACGAGTGAAATGATCCGCCATCATATTTTACTACTCTACCGAAATAATGAAACCCTGTTCCCCGGGGTTCTCGGTTGTTGTCCCTTTATCTGGCGGTTTTCCAGATATCGCAAACGTCTTTCAAATTTGTACAGCGATTGCTGGTTTAAAAGACTTAGCCGAGGGGTTTGGGCCAATCAGAAACAGACATAGTTTAAATGAATAATGAACTAGCTTAATTGAAAGCTGCACAATTAATATTTCAAATTGATTGCATACAGTAATTGCTTAATTCTCGGACGTAGGAAGGGGGAGGTTGCTCCCCCTCCTTTTTTCTGATTTTTTTCCTAGACGATAAAACATTAGCACCTGAAGTTTTCTGTAGCTGTTTGTTTATCCTTCGCGCGCATTTTGAGAAAAGTTTAGTGATGGTCCGTTACTATGGTTACGAGATAAGTAGCAAGTAACGTCATAAGTAGCAGGTGGTCAAGCCATTTTTGAGTGAGTATGCATGTTTTTTCACCTTTTTTCAACAGTAAAAGCTAAACTTGTGGATGAAATGATGCATAGTAATTATTTATGTGTCATTTTACATGTTAAGCGCAAAAAAATTAGCAGTTCTCACTGTTTTCACTTGCTTTCTAACTCTTGATAAAATCCAAGATGGCGACCATGTTTGGTGACATGACAGACCTCAAACAGCGCTACCACCAATAAAACATAACCCATCTTGTAGAGAATATCAAAGGCTTTCCACTGAAGGCAAAATCGTTTCGAAATACTCCCATCATCTCCGCGCCCCTTGTACCACGGCGGGAGTATGACTTTGCATGTACGTCCGAGGGTTAAGGGCTTGTTTACATGAAGGTGGGGGACCCCAGGTGTAACCCGCTTAGCTGGGATAACCTGCCTGTCCATAAAATCTCTCATCGCGTTTACATGATAGGAGGGGAGAGACCGCCGAGGGGGTTTGTCCAGCCTGAGATAACCCTTCTCAACCAGGGTCAAATTTTTCCATGTCAACGTTTCATGAAGGTAGGGTAATAGAAGAGAATTGACCGCCAAAACACGTCATTTGCGTGCCATTTTTGTTGTGTTGTGTTGCCTTTTGTTGTTGTTTTTGTTTCTTCCTATTTTTAAGTGCTTTGCGACCATTCAACAATCCTCAAAAAGTCACTGCGGGATGGTTGGTTATTTTTGTTCCGACCTGACGGGGTTAAAACCTACCTGGGCTCCCAGACCTCCGTGTAAACGAGCCCTAAGATATATTTTATTTTCAGAGAAGGAAGTACCATTGCTGTTGTTCGCCTACGATTTGAAAGAAACATCAGCGACCCCTTGAAGCCTTTGGAAGATGCTATCAAAGATGGCATATTGGGGCGGAATATCAGAGTTGATACACAGCTCCTTAATACAAGTATGTCAAGCTCCAATCAATTCACTCCAAGTCAATCCAGTAGGTACCATTAGTTAAATCTTAACGACGCTGACAGACATGATAAGGACTACATTATAATCACGTGACAGGGATAATAGAGAGAAACTCACAACCTGACTCCTAAATTCCACATCAAATTGCACGGAAATAAGGATCAATCAAATTTCATTTATTATTATTTTTATTACAGTCGAAGCAGGTCATTAGCGTTGCTGTCGCTAACGAACTAATGAAATGATTTCGTTTGTTGATTTAAAAATAGAATGTTGATTCGATTCCCGTTTTTTGAAAAACTACAATTTCCTCAAGTCGACCTCAGAATTTTGTTTTTTCTTCTTTTTTGCCAAGAGTCGAGTGCGGGCCAGTTCTGAAGTTCAAACCCATACAAACTGTCACATGTACGCCAATTTGCCGCCAGAAATCAGTGCAACAGACATGGGTCGGGTTGTTCTGAATCAGCTTTGCAGTAGCCTTTCGACTTCTCGTGCCTTGGTTCTTTATATTTTGGCTGATTAGATCTCTTTTCTAGAGATCCAACGTTTACAACTAGCAGGATCTTCGTCCACGGTTTTTGCAGTTAATTTAATCCTTTATTAAGATTAAGGGAGCTCGTAACTATTATTTCTAAACAATAAGTTATTGTTTCAGAACAAAAGTTAAGAGCCCTTTTATCTTAAGACGGCTTAATGCAACCTGGCCCAGACCTCTTAGAAAACATGATGGTCAAACTGAGGTCAGTGTATGTGCGGTGATTGGTGGATTTCGATCCTCGGCCTTTGTCAGTTTCTTCGCGTTTGCGGTCTGTCTATTCTAGCTGTTATTTTGATTAAAGGCAATGAAAAACGCAATCGTAAACGGTAGGAAAAGGAAAGCAAATACGATTGAACACAACAGACAAGAATAAAGAACAGGTAGACTTTGTTCATGAACCAAATCAATATTTAATTATTGAATCGAGGTGCAATTTGACTGTTGGATTATTCATTTTATGAGTGGATTATTGAATCAACAAACCGAATCATTTTTCCATTTATTCATTCGACTAGCGACAGGAACGCTTGACATGCTTTGACTGGCCTTTCACAAAAGAAAGAAAAAAAAGCCCTCCTTGGTCAGTATGTTTGTTTCTATACTTTGAACTCTTTCGAAAATGTCAAGTCACACTGCGAAGTGCATACAGAAATACAGAGAAGGTATCTGCACCGGCAAATTTTCAACATTTTATTTTGCCCTCAAAGTCTTTCTACGGTATTAAAGTCCTTGTGACGTAACTGATGCATATGTGAATATACCTTTGCATTTAAGAAAAAATCTACTCAAAAGTTGACCGATTTAGTGGAAGTTAAAGAAATATTTTCATAATTTCGGTTACTAAGAAAAGAGACTGAAGGAGATGGCAGGAGCGCAATTTGACTCCTCTTTTTAGCATCAGGTTCTATTGATGCGCTCAACAAAATTCATTGACTGCCTTGGATTCGTTGAGAAACTACAGCCTCGGTATGTCCAACTTGATTTTTCTTGCTTCTGATCAAACTGTAATGACTAATATTACTTGCTTATTGTCAAAATTCGTTATGTTCTTGAATTATACTCCTTTTTCCAGGACTTTAATATTATTGTATAAAATTAAATTTAAATCTAAATTTAAATTACATTTGCGTGTCTTCTCACCAGATAAAGTCTGACAATTTTGCAGGGAGAGTACAACGCTTTTTTGGCCCTATTCCTCTGGTCTGTTTTTCTGCAGATTTCTTTCTCTTTACAGAAGCAATTCTTTTCAGTTTTGAATAAAACTTCTTTTTTAATCTTCATACTTCGGCGCCCCTCATTGCGTTAAAACTGAAACTGAGTAACGCGTCTTCCGGAAGTGCGTCACACCTCATTTAGCAACTAGTCATGTATCAAAATCCAAGGGGGCTACAGAGAGGTTATACTTGACACTCTTTTACCCTTCCACGAGCATTTCACACAGCAGTGATTCAAAATGGCGGCCGAGAAGGTCTGTGATGGTAGTATCCAGGAAAAACAGTTGATTTTGAGAAGAAAAGAAGCTTTAAATTTTACCTACACTAGAAAACCGTTAATTACCACGTGACCGATTTAGCTTGACTTTTGTGGAGGAATGGATTATTATTTCTTTGTGAAATTTGGCAAATACACAAAGAGCATGTTAATGAAGAGATCTGTGTTCGACCAAAGGTTAGCTAAAATTGCCGTACAGCTGAATTATTCGGATGTCAAAATGTGGATGAAATTACAAAACAGCGAATTGTGCCCTGGAATGTGGATTAATAGGAGCTGTGTCGTGGTCGAACAGGATTATTCTATCTTACGTCCTTATTTGTGTTACATTTCATTCGGGAATTTCTTTTAACAATAATTCTAAGGATTCTTCTGAAATTTGGATTTTTTTTCTTTCCGTGCCATCCTAGGGGGTAATTAAATTAACACCTTTTGGATGACATAGCTAGCATAGTTTATTTTGATATATTGTAGTTCCTTAAGAACTAAGGAATACCGTCAATGTAGTAATATGTAGATATTATCCATAAAATGACTATTAAAAATGATGGGAAAATGTGCAAAATTTGCCGGTGCAGATACCTTAACAGCAGTCTACAGTCTGAAGTTCGAGATTGGCTTAAAGGAAAAGTCCGTTTTTGATATTTTGGATTCACTTCAAGTTATATTTATCACATTTTTTCAAACTATTTCAAAGTGATATGAGGAAAACAAAAGTGAAAGGCTTGTCTACCTCTTTGGAAACTGACGTGGGTGTTTCGTTTGATTTCCATGCATATGATTGGTCTTTCTTCAGTAGACACTATGAGCTGTTTAGAGGCGGTCCATTGAAATAATAACACGACGATGATGACGATTACGGTAATGATGATAAAAAATTCGCGTGTAATTTAAACGTTACATTATACATAACATCACTTGTGACCTTTATATAGCAATGCTACCAGACCCAACCACTGAAGAACCAACAACCGACGATGATGATGGGGGTCCTTTATCAAGTGGTCTATCAGCAGCTGAAATTGGCGGTATCGTTGGAGGATCGGTCGGATTTGTTGTAATCCTCATCATTATCAGCCTCGTTATCTTCTTCCGTTGCCAGCCTAAAAAAGGTAAGCTTCATTTGATAGGATTGTTTTCGCCATTTGCAGTCAAAGGTATCGAAAATTCCCTCTTGGATATGTTTCAGCTAAGGAAATCGTCATGATACTTGATTGCAAGACAGCGCCTTCTTAATGGTGTTAAGGGGGAAGTTTGATTGTTGTTGTTGTTGTTGTTTGGGGGGAATGGGGATATTTTAATTGAGAGTTGAAGAAAAAAGGGTGCATAAACTTCAACCACTTAGTCCTCTGATTGTGGTGAGCCATTTGTTATTTATCTATACCACTAATTATTTCCGGTAATGTTCAACAACCCCAGCTTAATTCAGGATTTTTTCTAGTTGTCCATATTTATAAACAATTATTTTAAGCATTTATTTATTGAAAACACTACAAAAATCATCCAAAAATTCTCAGACATACAGTAGACTCCCGATAATTCAAATCTTTAAGGGAAGTAGAAAAAAGTTCGAGTTATCGAGGGTAAAATTATACAGAAAATGATCTAAAGGGAAATGAAAATTACTTCGAGTTAGCAGGAGGCTCGAATTATAGAGGGTTCGAGTTACCAGAGGTCAACTCTACTAACATCCGACCACCCGCTCCCTGAGTCATTATATGATTGAAAAAAATCTTGTCCATGGCTAGATTTTGAAGAAAAAGGGAAGTAATTCGTGCCATCTACTTGTTATTGAGAACAATAGATAGTGTAATAGTCGAATATATACGGGCAATTTTCTCGTTTTCATTTTTAAATCTGACTACCGCTTTATTTTAACATATAGCTAAGGCTTTCCCTGTTACCAACCAGCTTTACTATAAATTTTCCATTCTTTAGCAGGCAAATCATTCAGTGAAGCAGACGGATATCGCATGTAAGTGCATTTGATATTAGTCAAGCTCTCGCTATTATAAGGGAGAAAAATTAAGACCCGACACACGGTAACCGCTCTGAGGAAAGTTAACTCTTTCTTGAGCTGAAGGTGAAAATTTTAAAGTTCTATCAAGAATTTTTTACTTAGGTGGGCCCCGGCCCACCATGGTCCTAAAGGTTGTGATAATGAAGGCTCGGGGCAACCTCGGTCCGAAACGCTCTCTCTACATAACGGTAAGGTAAGAAAAGGAGCGAGAGCATATGTCTACTAGGTTTGGTTGCAGGAACACGATTGCTGCGCTTCTTGTTTTTTACTAAGTTTTTTACTTAGATATCTGCGAGTACTGCGTAAAACCTGTTCTTGGTTTAATCTTACTTTCCTTTGTCTTACATTGCCATACCCTAAAACTGAACCAAAGCATATACGTGACAACTGCCTTATACCTGATCGCTTTGTGATGATTTAGTTATAGTTTCATGCATGGATTGATATACCCCTATCATGCACAATCAGTTGTAGTGTGGAGAAAAACTATAACATTGCTCACGGTAGCACACGTTTTAGTCGAGGCATCACTAGAAAGTACTGGCTACTATTTAATGAATAACTTTGTTACAGACACAGCAACCCGAGTCACAACACGTGATCTTAAATGGGTCTCAATAAAACTATACTTCATCATGAAAACGCTCTAAAATATTCTCAGTACGACCCAAAGGAAAACGTATTAATATTCGACGATCTATATATGTAACACACACCGGCGTGCTTAGAATGCGAGTTTTGGAGTTTGAAGTTGCAACACGCTCCCCATATCTATATGAACTCGCAACTCGCGATCCGCAGTCCTCAATTCCTAACAATATCTCGCGACTCTCAATTCGCGACACGCAACTCCAACCAAAACTCGAAGAATACCCGGTCCCACACTTGTATTGGCTCCTAATCGCATTAATCGGATCGACTATCTTCATAGATGAAGAAAGATTCACAACAGAAACAAAATCCTGCCTTATTCTTCCTAACATCTATGAATAACAAAGCAGTTTATTGGCAAATCTCTATTTTTTATTTTTTTTTGGTAGGAACAAACAGCCTCCTTCATCAGGACTAGGGACAGCAAGCCCAGCTTTTGTTGAGGCCAGGATGTATGCCCCACCCAATGCCGCCAATAAAAAGGTATTAACAACGACTGTATTTCATACCTTATGTTATTGCCACAAAATTGGGAAAATACGGATACGGCAATGGATGTATGAAAGCACCATGATATACTTTTGCCCTCTTTCGATGATCATTCCTGCAAGTAGCCGACCCAAATTGTGTATACTTTATCTGCAATCTGCCAGCGGATAGAATGTCAAGATAATAGGTGTTTTGAAAAATTTGTTGCCATTCTTGAAATTGCATCATTTTTACAGGGAGAACCAGAAAAACGTCCTTTGCCAGCTGGAGGGAGCGGTGGACAGGACGGCCAGGGCGGCTTCGAATTGTGGTGCTAATTCTAGAATAGAAGTGGGACCTAAAACCAAGCCCATCACATGTACGCGTTGTAGTTCACGAATGTGATCCCTGAGGGTATAAAACGGGTGAAATATGAGCAAGTCCTCTCTTCACTATGTCCTGGTAGATCTAGCAGTAAGAAAAAAAAAAACCTGCATCTTGTTTTGACTGAAAAAATACGGTTTTATTCTTGTTAGTTTTAAGCAAGTGTAAGTGAGGTTGAATAGTAAAGGTAAGAGTAATGATAAGGATAACAATCATAATAATAATAATAATAATAATAATAATAATAATGAAAATAAAAAGGCCGCCGCGAAAACTTTGCAACTGTTAAGTCGTCCCTCGCCACTGATCTGCTCGAAACGCGCCTGATCATAGTCTTAACTGTTAACAAGAGACTGTTAACCAATAAAAAGGCCTTTTCCATTGTTTAAGCTTCGCTTGCCTTTCATTTCTAATAGATGCTAATTTTTTTGCTTGATTTTCAAATATTCCAAGAGGCTCTAGACTAAACAAGTTAAACTTATTGGTAGTCGACAATCTTTGAAACATACTGAGTTATTAGAAGAGACTGGTTATGAAAGACAACAAACATCAGCTTATGTTGCAAGCTCCCTAAAGTTGCACAATCCCTTGTTTTCTGTTGGAAAATTGCGACGGAATAAATTAATGCAACATTTTTATTGGTCTTTAAGATCAAAATGGTGGGAATGCTGTTGAACGTTGTACACCGTCAAGTCCACAAAAACATATAACAAAGGAGTCTGACGGGTTTTATAACCATTCCAATCTATTAACTATATAAAATATTTTATTGTGTTTGTGAAATATATGAAGCAAGCAGTAGATATTTGTAAGTAAGCAGCTAATGAAATCATATAACTTATGATTTTCTAAGCTAAAGTTTGTATCAAAATTTAATTATACTGTTTAGTAATTCATCAACTCATTTTACAAACGTGTACATGTAATTAAAATTCTCTCCATTGATTTGTCATAACATTATTGAATAATTACGGTAAACTGTATTTTACAAATTGGTATATTGTGTTAAAAAGATTTGTATGGGAAAAAAAAACAATAAATGTGCTGTTACTTCTTTTTGGTGTGAAAGCGTTATCTCCATTTTCCTCTGAAATGAAACTGTATTGTCAATGCTTGGACTGTGATATCTAGAATGGAGCTATGTAAAGGCCTAGAAAGCCTATGAAGGGTGGGAGTTGTAGTACCTATGAAGTTATAATTAAGAGCCAGTGAGAAACCACACCTCTGCCTCAGTTTTTTTTTTCGCGTTTCTTTCAAGGACCATCGCGTCGGGTGGAGTGCATGCTGAAAAAAAGTTCATTGAATATATGAATACATGTATTGAGCTGTTCCTTCATAACCTAGATAACAATATCCACGTTATTATTTATATCAGATATTGTGAGACACCAGCAATTCCTCAATACCCAGTCGAATGATTTCTGATGAGTCTTAAGAATGGGAGCTTCTTTGGTTTCTTTGCAACGTCAACATCCAAACTATGTTGTCACGATAGGTCACGTGAGTTTTGTATTACGGCACTGTCTCTGTAGAACGTATAAGCACGAGGTGGGGATTCGCTTCATAGTCTTAAATTTCTGAGATGAAAACAGTCTTGTACCATATGAGTTATCTAAGAGAGATATAAAAAAGGGATGGTACTGAATTGCTCCCTAACATGATTAATAGGCAAAGCAAAATGCGTGTACTCATCACTTACAACCAAATACATCATAACAATACGGATATTCATTTTTTCACCTTTGGTACAATTTGGTCACTTCACATAATTATTTAGATTTATTGAGGTTCGGTCAACGTACATGCGTAGCTTCGAAGTTATCTCACGGTCCTCATTCAGCGAAGGGAGCCATACACGGGCACTAAAAGCCGCCTATATCCCATCCTGAATAAAGATAGGATATTGACATTTACAAAATAACTAACGCGAGTTCTGATTGGTTAAAAGCCTATGGTTTATTGTGCCGGTAAACTCGTAAGAAATTAATTTCTAAAAGCAACAGACCGCACTTTCTATGGGTTTACCGGCGTGATAAATTGGGATGTTGGGAGAACACTGGAAAAGCTTGTAAATTACTCGGCTCGTGATTTACAAGCTTTTCTGGTGTTCTCCCAACATCCCGAGTAAGTTATCACGCAGGTAAACCCATAGAAAGTGTGGTCTACTGCTTAAATACAACAACTTATTTTCTCTTAACCGACCTGATGTCACGTGACAATACCCGAGGTATTGCTAAAAAAATGCAACCTACCGACTTATGTCGTTTATGACGAGAGACTTAAATTGATTAATGAAGAGTAGAGATCTGAATTAACACGTTATGACAATAATATCAAGGCAGAAGGTAGATGAATTCTTAACATTTCATCTCCAGGGGCCAGTTTCTTGAAAGTCACAATAATTAACGCGCCCGCAAGGCTGTTGTTGATTGCGTGCAAGATAGAGGCTTCAATAGCTTGGCATCTAACATGATAAAATTATCAGTTAATGAAACAAAATGCAGCATTTTGCTTAGTTTTCTCTGGAGTTTGTTTACTTTTCCAGTAAGAAGGGCTTTTTACGAGAGACTGGCATTTTTTAGTCGCCCGATTTAAAAAAAAACGGAATGACCTCTTGTAATGTTGCATATTTTGAGATATCCGGACTAATTCTTCTTGATTATTCTGCCGTTGAAATAAAACACGTATTTTGGCGCTGACTGCTGAGCGTAGGGCACTTAAATGCGACACCTGTGTGGAACCAGGCAGTGTTATTCGGTGAACAGAAATAATTATATGTGATATATACTGGACGATAATCTACAACAAACAGCATGTAATAAATAAAATATTGTAGTAGTAGTAGTAGTAAACCTTTATTTAACTAGGGTAATCCCTTCAGAATACTTAAAAGTATATCTGTTATCAAAAACTATCGCTGCTTTTGAAGCTAATCGGTTGACGAATCAGGTTATATCTGAGATATGTAGGGATCATTAGACGCAAAATTCTAACACAAAAATTCGCATTGTTTAGTATCATTTTCGTTTGAAAAGCTGCCCCTTTGTGTATACCTTTGGTTGACAAATGGTACCCCTTTCACAAACTTGTTTAAGACGCAGCATCCCCTTTAACTGCTGTAATGGGTCGTCTGTTAACTCTGTGCATGAATAAATAAAAGTTCAAGGTCATAAAATGCGCCGTTAGCCCCTTTAGTCCCTTCCGCAAATAGCAATGACAGATTTTCCGCTCCTTTCATGTATTTAAACCAGTGAAACCACTACCCGTTTATTTACCTGGAGCCTAAATAAGATACCCTTTTCAGGCGGAGCCTCTCCGTACAGGCTATTGTAGGATGCACTCTCGGGCTATCGTGAGACTGAAAACCATAAAAAATCCTTATCAACCTGGTTACATTCTATATTTTCCATGTTTACGAATAACAAGAATGTGGAAGCTGGCATCTTGGGCTATCAGGCATTTGCAGACAACTTTATCTGTAATTTCTTCCTGTTCCTTTGCCGGAATCCCCAGGAGCGGTGACTGGAATTTTTTCCTTGATGGGGCATAACTGGGAGTATGTGTAATACTGGCACGACAGCGGCAAAGAGGAGTGCCGAAGGCACGAGAAACTAGGGGGATACGGGCCCATGCTCCCCCAAGAAACTTTTAAAATTTAAGTACTCTAGGATGCAATCTGAACGCTAAAATTTGGCAAACACCAGGATTTTATTCTGGTCAACGAAGTAAGAGAAACTTAATGACCTTTTCCAGCTTAGCAAAAACAAAATTATCAAAAATGAATACTTTAGTAGAAAATTATCAATTGTCAGTTTGTTGTAGCGTCGAATACATGGTTTGGGAAAGTTTTAATTGACATCGACGGTTCAAAAGCGATTCAGCATGTGATTTAATGCTCAAACAAACTGATTTCCAATATCTGCCTTGTTCAATTTGTCGAGTCATTTCCTTGTGAACGTGGATAATGATGCAGTGATTCAATCTTTCTTGCAACATACACTCGAAGATACGTCTTGAGCCTTTTAAGGGCAGAGGCCGAGTGTTCCCTCACAGCATTCGTGGCAGGTACAACAAGAAGTAACTTCACAAGGTTCAAATAATTAACAGCAACTCCGGGGAGGTTTCTAAGATATGCCACTACATCGTTCAACCCAAAGTCCATTTTAGTACCAAGCTACTCTCTCACAGTTTGAAGCTGTGGCAGCAGCGAATTGCGCTTCAAGTCGTCTCCATAAAAACACAGACAGAATCTTATAAAGTCACAGAATATTTCTTTTACGAATTCAAATACGTTAAATCGCCTCATACAATGTACGATCATCTGGTCCAAGGATGTTGAAAAACTTAAGCATGCTCAGCCTGCGCAATTTTAAGTTGTCCCAAAGTTGAAAGTTGTTAAGGCAAATGTCCCACCTTTCCCCTTACCTGTACCGCCGCGCTTGATCCCTTGATGAGGTTCAATTGCTTTTAACATAAAAAATCTTTTAACTGCCACTTGTTTTTAACGATTAATTCTACCGTGGAGATTTGCTGGGAGCCCTAACTCCATTTTAAGCTATACAGTGGTGTGTGTCCTCCATTGTCTTTGCTAGTGATATGTTTAAGTTGACTGTCTGCCGACAGCGCCATATCAGTGGCTCACCGCCTTCTGTCTATTTATTTATTTATTTATTTAACCGGTTTCACCATGATTACAACGCTAAAATAAGACAAAAAAAAACATTTGAACAAGGCACAAAAACGAGAGACGAACGTGCGGGACACACAATGGAGCGAGGCCCCAAATTAAGTGTGCCCTTAAGAAAAATACACACTGAAATACTAACTATGCTGACTATGTAAACATTTAAACATTATAAGAAGTATAAAAATCCTATTTCCAAAATCAATAAGAACGAATCACTCCCGCAGCCGATAAAAAATCTCAGTAGCAGCAGTTGCCAGCTAATAGAAGATTACGTGGCCTACTCATTTGCAGCAGATCGACTTCCAGGTGTTAAAGTTAGTGACGTTATAGTTTGTACGAAAAGCAACCGATAGCGTTGGAGTACGTGAGATTTAAACTGATTAAGAGAAGTAACAGTAAGAGTGGATTCAGATAACGTATTCCAGAGTTTAGCAATACGGTTAAAGTAACTAAATTGAAAGATCTTTGAGCGGAACTTGGGAATTAGTACGTCTTCATCAGAGCTGTGGCGAGTGAGACGAGTGCCTTTAGGCTTGACGTAATCATCTATGGGTAATGTGGAGTGGCCAACGCGATACTTGAAATGAAAAATTAAGTCTTTCACTTCATGCCAATATGTTAACGGTAGCAGATTGAGGCGAGAAAGGCGCTCATGATAAGAAATATCGTCTTGTCACTGCGTGTCGAAGATGAATTTTGTTGCTCTGCATTGAAGACTCTCTATTCTTGTTATATAAGGAGACATTAGGAGCAAGGCTTCTGGTTGTAAGACAAGAAAGTGTTACGAGGTCGCTCTGATTGACAGTAAGATTAATAGGTATGACGCTCTCTGTTAGTGGGGCTGTTTCCTTGGAAGAAATAATATGTAAAACGTGTATAAACAACTTCAGGACGTTCACTCAATCAGTCCTGCCCCAACCCCCCCCCCCCCCTCCCACCCCCTTTCCCAACGTGGTTTTAGGGGCTAAAAGGGGGTAAAACCTCTCTCCTCTATTTTATCCCTCCCAATTTGAGTTTTTACTAACTATTTAATATGTAGCCTGTGATTAGTTCTAGATATGATATTAATCGATCATGTGACGTCATCAACCTGACCGCCATCTGGGATTATTAAACAAACAGTGAGAGATTTTCCCAATTAGCCTAAAAATATCTTTTAAAGATATTAATGTAAAGCAGTATTTTAAAAAAAGACTAATTTACTTGTGTCGAACATTCAGTCAGGTTCTGGATACTTCCAACTCACTCATTGGGAATTGAAAATAAGGTAAACTATGTGTTTGGTTTGAATATCAAGGTACGTTTTTAGAACTTTATGGACTAGCAAATTTCTGTATGAAATACTGCAGGCTATATTTGACCTGTAATGTTGAGGTTTTTCCAAAATATGTTAGTTATGTTAGTTATAAATGTTAGTTATAATACTTGACCTCAAAAAAGGCAACCTTAACAAATGGGAGATCTTCACATTCTTCCTCCTGTTTGACAATGGTTTCCCCAATCTCTTAAAAATCCCACCTTTAAAAAGATAAAAAGACTATTTTAGGCGATGATCTAAAGCAAGATTTTTCTGATTTTTCGACTTTATGAATATGTAAATGTTCGTTCTTTACTAAAATCACAGATGTTATTCTCAGTTTCACTTTCAGTCTTAACGTCGTGAAAACACCTTACTAGAAGCAGCTATAACTGACTAGAGGCATGGTAAATGCACGTTTGCAGCCTGAAAAATTGCTTTCAATATATAGAAAAATATCTGAAAAAGTTTTTCAGGAACACAGGCCAAAGCAATCGGGATGCAGTTTTTAATTCTATCAAAATGATATACGTGCATAATATACAGATCGATTTTCGTCGGTATCTGCTAAATGCATCTCAAAACGACGCATTGATGACCTGCACCTGTGTTTTGCTATCGCCTGTCTTTTTCATTGTTATTCCATTTATATATTTATTTATTTATTTATTTAAAACAAATAAGCTCAGCTGTGATTACTTGAGTTTCTTGTACCGCAGCTTTTGGCTATCAAAGGGCACCGGAAGAGTTTTGCTCGACTGATGAAAATTTGAGCTGTCAATTCGCTCACACGGGACCGTTCAATATTTTTGCTCTGTTCAAACAGAACTGAGGAACTGGGTTAAATTTCAACTTTTGTCAGTGGTTTTGCCATCTCCCCTTGCACAAGGTGCTGATTTAGCAAATTCGAAATGGCGTCTCCCAGCTGAATTTCCACGCATCAATGCACCCACGCCTTTACTGTACAACAATTTACACGGTTATGTTCACACTTAGCCTCCCACGCAGGCCTTTTCAGGGGAGCTCGTATTTGGCCCCTCCTCAAAAACGCTTGCTTAACCGAGAACAACATTTCCCACTCTTTTATTCGCGTGGTGAGCGACCAATCAACAGTTTTAAGTCTAACATGTATTAAAGGTCATAAAGCTTTCTTAGTGTTTCATGCAGATCGAGTACACTTATGGGGTTACCCTGCCGTCAAGGTTAACCTTCCAGAATTTGGAACGTACAATGTGATTGGCTCAGCTTGGCAAAGGAATGTTGTTCTCGGTTGAGCAGGCGTTTGAGGGAAGGGACGAAATAAGAGCTCTCCTAAAAACGCCTCCATGGGAGGTTAGTTCACACCATGCCAGTCAAATTTTCCACCGTGCGGGCTTAAAATTTGACCTGGGTTTGGTGTTTAAATTTTTGAACGACTAGGCCGTTAAAATTTTGGTACGATTAAAGTGGTTCCGTGTGAGCGGAGAACCTAAACACAGGAAGTTCATTATTAATTACTTATTCCCACGATGGAAAAAGGTTTATAAAAAGGTGCAGATTGCAATTGTCTTCATGGACCTTGCTTAAAGGAGTTTGCAATGTACAATTATGAACAAATTCTGTACATTTAAGGACCAAACTCAAGTTTCTTTATTTATCTGGTAGTCATCAACTATACCTCCTTTATAGAAATTAAGAACCGACCTAGCCTAAATTGCCAATAACTACCCTAAATGGCTCTTCATCACATTAGATTAGGCCTGGAAAACAAATTCTTCCCAAACAAAATAACCAATCGCCCACCTGCACCATGCACATAATTTTTCCTGTTTGTACGTATACATGAACTTGCTAATTCATTGCAGTCATTCAGAATACATAGTAGATACATATTTTTTAGTTATTAAAAACTTTTATAGAGACATAAGCTCCATTTACTGTAGGGCTGGTATTTTTTTACTACTTTCCACTTTATTGAAAATATTAAGGGAACGTATATATTTAGATAGTTCGTTTTGTCTGTTCCTGGGTCGGGAGGTTGTTCAATGATTTCTGTAGCGATCCTTGAGGATGGATGCAAGTCCTACAACTATAGGATTCCATGATTACCTCAGTTGTCACTGCAGATTTTGATTGCATGCAGTTCCTTTCACGGGCCAAGGCATTCAGTTTTCCTTTTTCTACAGTTGCAATTTTTTGGTTGTTGGACTGGTTGTGGAGTTTCAGATTCATCGCAATAAATCGAATACTTCTGAAGTCTGGAAATCAGAATATTAAGTGTCTTTCTAATCACCTGCAGTTCCTGAAACGTCTTCCCACAGTTACTTCTCCGCAGTCTACGGTTATACTTCTCTGAAAACCCAACGAAACCAATTTCTGAAGCATCATGTATATTGGTTGTGAATTATTTACAGCTTTAACGTAAATTAACGAGGTTTAATTAAAGGCTTTGCAATTTCAGATACTTTATTTAAAGACTGATATATTCTCCTTATGGAAACCTTATGGGGGCGCAAACTTGCTAATTCATTGCACTTACCTCCAGAGCACACACTAGATATATATGTATATATATGGTTTTCTGTAGTTTATTACAAACACTTCACAGAGACATTTTGCTATTCTAAGTAAAGGGTTAGCATTTTTTGAGTACTTTTCATTTTACATATTTGTTCCTGTCTGTTGGGGCACATGAACTTGCTACTTTATTGCAGTCATTGAGAGTACATAGTAGACATATATTTTTTAGTTATTAAAAACGTTTATAGAGACATAAGCTCCATTTACTGTAGGGTTGGTATTTTTTGACTACTTTCAGGCACATAAGGCACCCTATGTGTTTAGACAGTTTGTATTGTCTGTTGCTGAGTCGGAAGGATGTTCCGTTATTTTTGTAGCAGTCCTTGAAGTTCGATGCAAATGAATTTCAGGCTCCTTACGAAATGTTCAATTAACAGCCGTCTCCTCAGAGTTACATACTAACAATATATTTGGTACCTACTAACTCTTATCAAAACTTCCTCAAGCCTTAACTCGCTCGCGGCACGTAATCAATCATTCTGCTTAATCAACATAAGGATTAATAATGACAATGACCATGATGATGGTGATGATAATTCTTGATCACATACTCATCTTCATTCAATAATTGTTTATTTTACATAGCAAGCCCATTTTTAAGATGCGAAGATGATCTAAA